GACTTGAACACGTCGATTGAAACTGTGCAGCTGAAGGGTCGAGGTCTTTGTACTCCTCCTCTGTATAAGCAATTCTTTTTTTTTTTTTCTCTCGCGGAAATTCGCACGCGAGATCCGTCCCGCGCGCGGGTTCGCAGCTAAGACGCCCTATCAAATACGATTCTTTCGCGCACACCGCGTCGCCGTTTATAAAAAATACTATTTTACAGCGCAGGAGGCAAGCTCTCGTCCATGCAAATCGCATGCTCACATAGACGGACTCGCATCCGGATACAAACGTATAATAATAATCACACTCGCACTAGCAATCTCTCTCGCTCGTACATACATATACATACACGCGGGCACGCACTATCGAATAAAATATCAACGATCACACACGTTCTTCCATGAAATATGTGTCAAACGGAGACGCCTAGAAAATTCTACAGGAAATAACGGATGCTACTGTATATACATACGAAACGGATGAAGATAGGTGGGCGATCGAATAGATCGAGCAACGGTCGAGAGTTCGGATCACTATAATGTTTTCACAGAAACGCGGAAAGCGAGATTGAGACTTGAAAGAGAAGATAAAGAAAGAAAGAAAGAGAGAGAGAGAACGGAAGAGTAGAGTTACAGTTGCAACGCAAGACCCGCCACGTGCGATCGTAGCGCATCCGTACGCCTCTATAAAGGTCTATTTTTTTTTTTATTCCTGCACTGGACTGTACAAGACTCTTTCTCGCTTTCGTCAAATATCAAACGTATATATCTATCTCACTTTAAGTTTCAAAAGTGTACACAAGTTTTTCTCTTTCCCGTTTTCTTCTTCGTTTTAGCAAAGAAAGCGTGCGGTGCTCACCTATTCGCGAATCCTTACGCGATCGTTTCTTGGCGAACAAAAATTTTTATGCACATATTTCATAAGTCTTGCACGCCAAGAAACGAGATGAGCTACCGTCTTGTGTCGCACATAAACGCCAAGTATTACCGAATTAATCCACGTGACACGATTACGTCTACAAGAAAAAAAAAAACCCCCCCCAGGAAGATAAGAACTACGCCTTCTACGAATGTCAAAAGTATTTTTTTACCCGGCCCGCCGGTTCCACGCGTGTAGATTAGAACCGCTTACTGTATTCGTAATACGGTAAAACGCAGTTTGTTGCCGACAATTACCGTAATGAATGCCACTTCACCACGAGTAACGCGACACCTTGTCGCGCGGAGGACTTTTTATCTATTCGCGAGGACTCGCGTTTCTTTCCTTCCTTCTCTTTCTTCTTCCTTTATCCTTTACTTCCTACTCTTTATCACCAATAAGATATACACTGATTTCTTGTCATGTATAACAAATATTCGGACATTCTGTTATTTTCGCGCCGATATTTAGTGTATCTTTAAGATCACCGCTGCCACCGTCATCGACGTCTTCCACGAACGAGATCCATTTGCACTGCCTGCACTTTTTGCATCTTCGCTTTCTCTCTTTTCAATACCCAAATATATATCTATCTCATTTTACGTTCAAAAATTTTTGGGGATTCAAGCAACGCAAACAGATCTATTAAAATACACAGAAAAGGAGTTCTTTTTTTTTCTTCTTTTCTAATATGAAGAGAAAAAAGAAAAGGATACATCATGCAAAAAATTCTGCCGAAGAGAACAAGCTCTTTTTTTGTGATCTGCTACGAAAGCAACGACGATGATGGGGGCCTTTTCACGCGCGACATCGACGTCGGTCTTCCGCGTCTCACCGTCTCCGATTATCGAGAGTACATCAGGTATATGTTTTTAATTCACTTTGAATTCGCCTTCGCGATGCGTGCGTACGCAAAGCGCAATTAGGAAATTAGGTACGTTTCCAATGATCTACGTATGAGAACTGAGCATGGCCGCACACAGAATTGAGGGAGATGATCGACATTTAACGTCCTTTTACGATCTCCTGCAATCATACGAGCTTTAAAAGGTGCTATCTATGCATCACGCATTTAATGCTAGCTACGCTGTGTAGACTTAAGTTTTCACTCGTAAACTATAAGATAATGCACGTTATCTCATATATTATCCAGAGTTATGTACGTTGAAAGCTAAATGGACGAGATAAGAATTGAAGGCTGATGACTAACAAACTTAAAGTTACGGGCCGATTACTCGCGCTGCAAAATACATAAAATTATCGATATCAAATTAATATCACAAAGGAAACTAAAAATTCCTCAATTTTTTTTCGTGAACCTTGCCGTTCATTTCATCAGGACGAGAGGTGTGACTGAAACGTTAGCAGTGGATAAAAACACGGTGATAATCCGCAAACCTTCTGGTATAATTGAAGATAATACCCGTGAAAGCCTTAAGTTACAAAAAAATTCCTCGTTTTGCGCAATAATTTCCTTGCATTTTTAAAAATCAGCCTTAAAACCTTATCCTATATGCGGCCACGCGGATCAGACTAACCATAATGTATCGTAATCAGATTTCTGATTTGCTAAACGGGCTGCTTGCTGAAACGTCGATGGGATCTGAATGACTATTCGGAGATCGCTTATACGCGTCTTACGCGCGCGTTTAATAAAATTAAATTAATATCCTAATGCCGTGTCTGAGGCAACGCGCGTGATCTGTCATTAAAAATGTAAAGCGTTAAACGTGTAATAACAACATAACATGCACCGCCTTACGATAGGCCGAAAACGAATCGCCGATGATGTCGATTCGATTTCGGCCGATTCGGTCGGTACAACGTTTCCCTCACGGTGCATTCAATCAAACAAGACTGTATTCAAGGTCGCCGATATTCGAATATACATATATATGCGAATCTTGTCCCTCTAGTTCGCAAAGTTTCCTATGCTTAACTTCACCGAAATAACAGTACAAAATTTTCATAGATAGTAATTGCTTCCAGATAAATACATCGTTCTAATACATTGCAGGTGTATCTCGCAACAACTAGCACGACGAAATTCTACATTAATTGTCTCGAACACAATCGGGCAAAACGCGGTCGACTATCCGAGAACGGACGAAATACAAAGATGCTGACTTTTTCCGGTATGTAACATTCGCGTTCCACGTATCGGTTAAACGATGACACACAGATACGTAGAAAAAGAGGCTACTTATATGAAACACATTCGAAACGTTTACAAGACATGGGATCTTCGTATATTGGTATAATGAAGACAATGACGATGATGATGGAAAGTTGTATGCCACGCGGACCTTCTCGAAACACAATCGTGCAAGCGATGGTCCAGCTGTTTCCTCGTGACGTCTTGTTTGCTCCCTCAAATACGTTTCAGAACTGGTATGCCATACCACAGCTATTCCAGTTTTGCACGCATAATGTAAATGCAATGTGTGTAAATGAATTTACTGAAACAAATTGTAAACATCCTCAGGTTGTTATTTCTCAACTGACTGCCTCGCTTCCTGCAACTCTTCTGTTTGTCTCCTTTCCTCTCCTCGCGAAGTGTAGATTCTGGCTCTGCCATTTCTTGTAAATTAATCTTATGCGTTTTCATCGATGGTGGGTAGCCAGAAAGCCATGTTGGTGCACGCAGACGCTAGCATCATGTACTTGGGATTAAATTGGATACACTGTACCGGTGCTGGATGGTCACCATTCAATACGCAAACTTTGTAACCGGTCTCCGCGTTCCACACGTGTACCCTACCATCTGTGGAGCCACTGAACACAAATTGGGAATCCGGACTAAAACTGGCCTCTATGGCAATCCCCTTGTTGTTGAGATGTCCAGCGAAAGTCTGTAAGGGTGTACCATGAAAAGCGTCAATTAAACGAATCGTACTACCGTTAGTAGAGATCAAGATGGTCTTGCCGTCTCTGCTGAACTTTAATCCAGTCCAATCACATTCTTTCTCCTGCGACAGTTTGAAAGTGACAAACGGGCCCTTATCGAAGCTACGTAGGTCGTACAGCTTGATACTTTCCGAGTTGACTCCAGCTGCAAAGATAAGACCTTCAGGATCATATGCTGCTACCGGCCGTCCTGAGACATTCATCACCCCGTGACAATTTGGCGAGCGTAGATCCCACAGTCTCAATGATTTGTCTAAAGAACCAGAGAGAAAAGTATCCTCGATAGGACTGATACAGAGCGACACTACTTTTTTCGAGTGACCAGGAAAGTAACGTATATACTTGTTGTCATGTAGGCTGAGATAGCGGATCGTGTCGTCGACCTTGGTACTGCTGTGTATCGCGGTGTTCTTCGCGTGAGTGAAGTGTATCAGGTCAACGCCGTACTTCTTCGAATTGACTGTCCGTACCTGGGTACCCTTTTCACAGTCATATATGACAATCTGGTCGTCCTCGGAGCAGGAGATCAGGGTGTCGCCGTTAGGCGAGAAATCGATACTGTTTATCCGATCTGTGTTCTCGCGGAATACCTTGGCCACCTTGAAGCTCCTCACCACGTGATCGACGAGCTTCATGGTGATGGACGGCGCGTCCTCCCTCTCGTGCCGTCCCCTTAACCTCCTGGACTCCACAATCTCTGTGTTTGTACTGTGATCGGGTGCGAAGACCGCCGGGCGCGGGGGCCGGGCGGGGGTCGCGGATGAAGACGCGGCCGCCAAGTTGCCCCCTCGCGAGGGAGGAGGTAAGAGGAGGCTCGCGTGTCCCCGCGGAGATCGCCGAAGGGAGATCGAGGTGGCCGCGAGCACGGTCCAGACAGAGAGAGTCGGGGACAGGAGGGAGGGAGGGAGGGAGGAAGGGGGAGAGGGGGGAGGAGGAGGCGGGCTGTCCACCGGGACGCAAGGAATTCCCTCTCGCGCCTTCGTTATCGCCGCAGGTCGCTCCCTACTCTGTCGCGCGCGCGTTCACCACAGTGGCCACCGTGGACTCCCCCGTGGCAGATATCTCTTCGCCGACGTGGCTTCCCTTCTTCCCGTGAAACGGACGCCGTCAGCGGGACCGCCGACCGTAACACACCTCAGCACCGCGCACGTATGTAAACGTACAACGAATCCTGCCAACCGGATCAGCCGGGAAATTCGTCGTCTCCTGCGAATCACACTGTACCTGGGGCTCGCGAGCGTATCCCTCGCTCTCCGTGTCCCCGATCGGCAACGGTGAATTCGGCAGGCAAGCGGCACAAACTCTACTTTGGCAGTCCGCGAGTATCCAGCAAGCGTGAAAGGCCGCTACGCACGGGGCCGCTGGGGGCCGCTCGAGTGCAAGAAGCGTGGAGAAATTGTCCGCGCTGCGAATGCGCCATCTACCTTCACCCCACCGCCGCGAAACTACGTGATCACTTACCGCTCGGTCGGTAACATCGTGTTCGGTCGATAATATCGCGTAAAGCAATATATAAATCTATTATTTTTCCTCTTTTTTTTTTTCAACTCAGTTCGTTCTTTAGATTGAATTTTTTAACTCCTCATTCTTCTTCTTCCTATATTTAAATAATTATATTTAAAACGTATAATAATTTCAAATAACAAAAACTCCTCTGTATAAATCAAATATAAACTTGGAGAGAAAAGGGCACTAGGAATCAAGCGCGGACAACTTTATGCAAATGCTAATATATAACAAATTTGTTGCAAATCCTACTGCCCTTTTCTCTCCAAGTTTATATTTATAATTATATTTAATTTATATCTCTGATTTTTTTTTGAGTGTTTTCCATTTGATGATACAAGTGTCATATTTTGTCTTTTTATTCATTGAATGTCAAGAAGAATAGAATATCTCTTTCTTTTTCTCTCTATATGTCTAATTTATACACATATATATCTACTTGATTCCGATCTATACAATCTATGTTTAATTTATATACATATATCTATATATCTATACATATATATATGTAGTTATATATTTTATTTATATGTATATATCTCTTTCTTTCTCTTCAACGTTTAATTATATCTCTGTTTCATTTCAAGTGCAGGAAGTACAACAAAGTACAGCCTAGTAATCCAGTACAGCCACAAAGCGGTCTGTCGCCCACCTGTATTTACGTAAGTAACGTTACACACACACACCACAGTGATCATTTTTTTGCGCGCTTTGTAGTTTTTTCGCGTAAAAAGAAGATCGCGTCCGAGGTGGAGATACGCATCGATGGGCATTACATTCTACGATGAGCAACATCCGAAAAAAAGCCAATCATTTGGCGGTATTTAAGCGACGGACCAAGAATGAGGACAACGACGAATTATCGAGGAGCGTCATTATAGGGGCGAGAAAGACGGGCCAGTTAAATCTCTCGTCGAAGGGACTGTCCACGGGTATATTATATTTACGAGCACCGCCTATACATATACTAAAATTGTAAACTGGACGATGGAACGATTGACGATACTATCGAATTCGCCCTACGTTTACGTTCATATCACGTCGCACAGTTGTTTCGAGCATGCTCCAGTTTTCGTTTAGATCATACGAATGCTTATATTCATAATTAGACGGACGTGCATGATTGCGATGATGATGTATATTCAAGTGCAGTCATGTTAAAATCGTATTTATGATGGGTGTTTTCCAGCAAGAGACAAATGACGATGTAACACAGTGAATCATTAATATTAGGCTTGTCCTTTTTAACTAAATTTCTTGTTCAACTCATTTTTCTTCCTTTTCTCTTTATATGTTGGAGAAAAGAAGAGGTTTTTCTGAGTTAAACTTAAAGACATACCTAATTGGCCAATATATATGTTTTGACCAGTATTTTATCAATAATTGTATTACTACTAGGATTGCCTGTAGAATACAAACTAATAGTAATATATATATATATATATTACATCAAGATTATAATTTCCTGTTTAATAATACATATAAATGTAATATAACAGATGTTCACATAAGAGTTATAATATTGAGCAGAAAATCACATTATTGATGTTACTATGGATGTTTTGTCAGTATATCCTCATCTATCGATAATAAACAAAGCTGAAATATTATCTGTACCTCTTGCTAGAAAGCACTTTGGTTTATCAATACATACAATAAGTCTCAAATACAATACACAGACCTTTTTATATTTTTGTTGCCTGTTAATTATCGCTTGGATGTTGCAATAAGTATTCAATAAGGTTTTATTAATAGATTTATTTGTATTCGATATGATGCACATGTGCATTATGAATGAGTGCAAAGTGAAATGTGCATAATGTTCCCTTATTCATTACTGTGTCGTGTAAAAGTTCTTTGAAATATACAAAATATCAGAGAATACAAGTTTTCCAAAGAATTGAAAATTTCAGAAACTCTTACACGACGCAAGAAATAGCATCTTATCATATGTATGTACACAACAAATAGATAGTGTTATGTATACAAGGTGTTCTGGAAATCGTATAACCAGAAAAGAGATGATTCCTCATGTTGAAATAAACAATAAAAAATATTTTTTATGGAGCTCTATTTTCAAGAAAATTAAGTTTGAATATTTATTAAGCACAGATACACTTGATCAGCAAATCTGTTTGATTCTAATTGTTTATTACTGTTTCTATATTAATCTGGTGTAGAAAATAATTCAGTAATGTATTTATTTATTAATTGAAATATTATTGAAAATGCTTATATAGAAAGAAACTTTTATTTCATAAAGAATCAATTTGATTGTACTATAATTTTTAGAACACCTTTGATATACATACATACTGTGAATGAGAATGCAGAAAAAAATGTGTGCAATGTTGTTCATCGTCATGTCAGATTTTTTTGGAATGTATGAAAGATCAAAACACACACACATACACACACACACACACACATATATTTTAATATATCATTACTAGTTTAGACAAGACAAAATATTGGTGTAATAAATTGGCAATTTTCTGATAAATTTATATTCTATAAATAATGTAATTGTAAGTCCAGCAATGTGGAAGTCAAATAAATCTGGTTTTGCACAATTGTGTTTCTTTTTTTTTATGTATATATTTGTAATTATGCAGATGTATATTATATATAAATACAAGTCATAAGTGCGGCAAAATTCTAAATTTCCTCTCAGTAAGAATTAATATTTAATATTTATTTTTTATTTAAATTCAATATTTATTTCATTTAATATCGTATTATGCTTATGTTGCTTCAAGATACATTTAAAAACAATTTATGCTTACAATTATAAATGAAATATGCTCGGTATCATATCAATATTGTTCATTATCATTATTTTAAATTGCTTTGCATGCTTTGCTAAAAAAAAAACGTGTAATATTAGAAGTGATCATAAGTGTACTCGACCTAAGTTAGTTTATTTGCCATATCAGGTAAGTAAATTTAATATAATGACGCCTTCATTGAATTTAATGGCACAGTAGCGATGCATAGTGCAGAACTGCAGAAAGGGCAAAATTCTGAATACAGGAATTAATACGGGTTACAGTACCTGACAGAATATGGAATATAAACGAATTAACGAAAGAGGAATTACGTGATTTACATTTCGAACTTGATTATGTACCTTTGGAAGAGCGATGGTGGGAACAAGAGCCACTGAAGATGTTAGATCTGAGTTGCAATAGTTTAACTGTAATCGATAATAAAATAGAACTTCTAACAGAACTGAATACTTTGAACGTATGTATAAATTATTTTTTGTGTATTACGATCATAAATGTATATTTTCAATATTTATTATACATATATGTATGACCTTAAATATTTTAATACTGTTTCTAGCTGCATAGTAATTTGTTAGAAGAATTACCACCTGAAATTGGTTCTCTGCGCAAATTAAAAATACTAAATCTATCAGACAATAGACTAAAACATTTACCTCATGAATTTTATATCCTGGAGGAATTATGCGAGTTATATCTAAGAAGTAATCAAATAAGTATACTCGAAGTTGAGATTGGAAATTTAATCATGTTAACTCATATGGTAAAAAATACACATAATTATGGATTATACACTATGAGGATCATAAGTAAAGCCAATTTTTCTAATGAAATAATTGTATATATTTTTAGGATTTATCATATAATAATTTAAGAGAATTACCGATCGGAATGGGATATTTGGTGCGACTGGAGACATTGAATTTATGTCAGAATATGATAAAAGAATTACCACCTGATGTAACAAGTATGCGATGTGAGTTTCTGCATAAACGCATTAATAATTTATACAAAAAGTTATCTACATTTTGCAATATTTATTTCATTATTTGATGAGATGATTACTGTATTTTTTGGTAGCATTGAAAACGTTAGATATCAGCTTTAATCAATTGGAAACGGTACCGCCATTAGGTGAATTGCGGAAAGTAGAAAGAATTATGTTTCAGTCGAATAATTTGCAGGAATTTCCAGACATATCAGGTTGTTCAGCTTTAACAGTATTGCATTTGGATAACAATAACATTCCTGTATGTGTTAATATATACATTTATGCTTGAGCCAATCAAGACTAAAATTTAGCTTGCTAGTATAAACGCAGTTTTACTAAAACAATAATATTCTCTCTTGTAGGAAATTGATCCACAACGCTTAGAGACAGTAGGACATCTAAAACAGCTCACAATGCAAAATAATACAATTGAAGTAATACCTGAAGAAATAATCAAATTAATAAATTTGGAAGTTTTTGATTTGTCGCATAATAATATATCTTTGTATGTCACCTAGCTTCTCTTTCTCTTAATACTATAATTTCATATATTTAGAGAGTTCATTAAAATGGGTCTTTTTTTTGTAGAATACCTTATTGTATTGGTATATTGCCCAATTTAAAGCAATTTATAATCGAGGGAAATAATATAAAAAATGTAAGGGGAGACATAATACGATGCGGTACACCTCGCATTCTGACACACATTCGCCAAACTGTAGATGTTAATGCAAGTGTAAACACCAGAGAATTACTACAACCTAATGCCAGCAACAGTATTCATCCTGACAAGTATGTAAAGATTAATCTGTTTAATGATGTGATCAACTTAGCGTGTGTCGTTACACTAAAAAATTTCTTGAAAAAATATTTTATGTATAAAATCAAATGTATAATTTATAATAATACAGATATATGATGAAGAACACAAGACTGTTCAGCTTAGCTGGGCAAAACCTTTCGGAAATATCCGAAGAAATCTTGGAAGACGCAGCGGAAGCCTCCGTCACAACCATCGACTTGAGTAGAAACAAGCTATCAGGATTATTTAATAAAATGTCGGCAATCGTTACAGTGACAGATCTAAAGTTGACTTCAAATCATTTAGCAAGCTTGCCAGAATGGATTGGTGAAAAGTACAAGTGCTTGCAAGTTTTAGATATAAGTAAAAATCACTTGCAATCTCTACCATCAAATATCGGTTGCCTGAAATATTTGCGAGATATTGATATCTCATTCAATAGGTATTACAGATATAATGTTTTGTGCACTTTCCGCAACATTCCTTTTTAACATCGAAATATATGATTTATGCACTAAATATTATTCTGCAGATTTACTGAGTTACCAGAAGCTATTTATGACGTTGAAGCATTGGAAAGTTTAACTGCCAATGACAATCAAATCGCGAAAATAGATGTACCGCTGTTGGAAAGATTAAAAAGGCTAGCAGTTTTAAATCTAACAAATAACAATATCGCTCACGTACCTCCTGAACTTGGAAACTTGAAAAACTTAAGGTAATAAGTATTTTGTTGCATAATATTGTTTATATTTTCATCGTACATTAGGCAAGTTTTTTAATTCGTTGATTAATAACATTATGTGCAAATAACACTTTACTTCATAAATGCGATTGATCAATAAATGAATTAAAAAACTTATTGATAATTTATTGTTAAGTATAATGTTATTTGTTTCCATAAGCTACATTGCTTTTTTTATCTACAATGCGTTATTATCTACATTTTTATCTACAATGTAATATAAACGTTCTTTTAGGAGTCTATTGTTATCTGGGAATTGTTTTAAATATCCCAGACAAGCAATTCTAATGAAAGATACAGAAGAAATACTGAGTTATCTACGTAATTTAATACCTCACTAACGAAGAGAACACAAAATGGTTTATAAAAAGTATCCATTCTCGAAACTGTGTTAAAAATTTTATTATTATTTAGAATTATTAAATAAAAATTATTATTTATAAGTGTATTTTGCGCGGAAATATCATATCTATATATGTATGCATACCTTTTACTAATCTTTAAAAATTATGTACAGTCTCAACCTATCAAGTGCAAAATAATTAGAATAAGGTATAGATTAAACTAATAATATTTATTCTATATATATTAGAAATGTAAATTAAGCAAAGAAAAATCTTGCGTTCATAGAAATATTAGATATATATAAAAAGAGAATAATAAAGTATGAGAAGGTGTTAATGCAGCAATTAAATCATATTTTGAAAAAATGTTTACAATAAGAATTTATGGATTAGCTAGAATAAATGTGATTAAAGTGGAAGTTAATAATAAAGACCAAAGAAAATCATCAATAATTTGTATAATATACTTGTAATATTCAACGGTCTAATAAAAATATTTTTCCCTCCTAATGAAGCAGTATAAGTATAAATAAATCTTTTTATCAATAACTTAAAAATAAATATATATTGTCAAAAAAATAAAATTACATTAATATATAATAAAAGATATAAAAAATTATAATATAAAAAATATATTACAAATCTAGTATTAACTTTCTATAAAATTATAATATGTCTCCATTATTTAATATAAAATTTATAATTTTTTAAATACATAAAAATGATATAAATTATAAATATATGTATACATATTTATAAAGATATATATATATTTTTTTTTTGGTGATGATTTAAAATTGATTTTTGTTAAAACTCAGCAGAAATGTAATTATAATATTCGGACTTTAGGTTTTGAATACAACAAGTGCATAACTGCCATAACCACTTAACCACTCAGGCAACAGCATCACGCACTTCAGTCGTTGATCAGCAGCTCGTATCGTTCGTATACATTCGCGCGTGTATACATTGTGAAGTTGTGTATACATTTGAACGTAGAACACAGGTCGTGCGCAACCTGAATTTGTCATGCCACGATGTACGAATTCGTATGAAGATTGACGCTTTGACAAACGCCGCTGGATCTCGCCGACAATTAAATTTCTCGAGTATGTTCATGGCTATACTCGCTTTGGTTATCTTTTATCGCAAATGCATTTTAACATTTATCGTATCTTCCTTCAATCTCACAAATGGATAACGTAATCGAACGTAATCTACATATTTTCCGTCTCTGCTACTAGTGTGACTTTTGTATGCATGTACGGTTTTTAGGCACTTCTGGAGGGTAGAATGTCAGAATCGGAGATAACGCTCGAAGAGGAACATTCTGTGGACCTGTTCTCGGATGTGGAATCGTCGCAGAGCACGAATAACGTAGCCAATTCGGACTGTAAGAGTCTACCCGCGCGTTCTCTGTTTATTGTATTGCGTTTTCGCGTCGCTTTCGATTAATACCCAAACGTTTGACTCCAGCGAGTTCCATGTCAATTTGCGTCAACGAACCTGAGCCTTCGGATGACGTACCTGAGTGGAAGGGCATGAGTATGGATGAGATACGCAAGGGCCTTGGCGTTTACGATTATCGGGAACACCCACCGATCGTCATCTCTCCTCATCATACAGTATTATTCATGGTATATATTACATGTGTGTGAATAGAACAATGATATATTATTATCAAATTTTTTAAGGCTGATATATCCAAATTAAACAAATAAAGTTAATTTGTAAAGCAATGATAACTTAATTTAAACGACCAAGAGATGAGTAAATTAATGTTAAAATAATTATAGATGATTACATATCCACAATTATCATAATAGAATTCGATAAAAATTTGTTTCGTTGAGTGGCCTCTCATTGTCACTTTATTTATATTTAAAATTTATTTAGTATGTAAGACTGCGTAATACTATTTTATTATTTGTTTCTTTTAAGCTATGAACAGAGGAATACTCTGTGTGTAAACCAAAATTTATTATGTATTTTATTACATAGAATATATTTTAATTATTTTAAAATATAATTTGCTCGTTTTGTTTTCGTTTGTTTAAATGTCAAAGATAATATATCTAAGTTATCATTTTTATACATAAGTTGCTGTGCATACTTGTTAGATATCTATTATACTATTGTGACATACTTTTTTGTAATTTAGTTACCATTGCATTCACATGGACCACCAAAGCCGTATCCGACACATCAAACAGACAAATGGAGCCAGGGTTATGTACGAATGCCACATTCTGTGCATAGTTTGTATCCAATAGAACAGGTATGTATTGTCAAATAAATAGAATGTTCGTAACACCTACAATCTTGAGATGATGGATTTTCTGAATTTGAAAATTAATTTTCTCAGAAAATATTGAGAACAACTATTATTTATCATTTTAAATTTGTAATATTATATGTTTTCTTAATTAAGTTTTAAATTCTTTTAAAGTAAACTTTATCCGAGTATGTGTGTGTTAATTAGCTGATTTCATAATTTATTTGCCTTCCCAGAAAAGGCTTTTTTTAATAGCATACAACTATAAAATATCTAAATATATTTATATTAAAGGATTTTAAATTGTTTGAAGAGAGAATCTGTCATCGAAATAAAGACTGCAAGATGCTTAGTCTATAAAGAAAATTGATATTAATTAATGTAAATGTATTAAGATTAATGCCTTTTAATATTGAATCCTGATATTTCGCATAGTATAAAGTAATTGTTGATATTAATTAAACTTTATATTTTAGAGAAGTGGAAATCGCTGCTGCCGAAATAGATGGGAGATGATTCAGGAAGCTTTGCTGAGGAGTATTCTTTCTAGCCAACAATTAGAAGAGGCTATACTTTCGTACAATCAAATATATGCACAGCGCTGGAATTTTGCAGCGCTCCATTATTTTTTCTCAGAGGTATATCTTTTCTCTAAGGTACACCGTACTTGGGTTGTACTCTTCAAAAATTCTGATTAACGAGAGAATTCTCGACGCAGGTCATGGACTCGGAAGAAACAACGATGTTCTTTGAAGTATTGATGCCAAAATTAGTTCAACTGGCCTTGCAACTTCCCGTGCTGTTAACTGGTGCGGTGCCTCTGTTGAAACGACATAGCAACGGCTCCATCAGTTTAAGTCAATTACAAGTAGCTTCTTTACTGGCGAATGCATTTTTTTGTACATTTCCTAGACGCAATTCCAATAATCCGCAATCGGAATACGCAATGTATCCTTATATTAATTTTAATAGGTAAGACTAGAAATTATTTAGATTATTTATTTAAAATTTCATTAGAACAAATATATTTATTTATTATTTATCATGTATTGTATATTTTTTAGATTGTTCGCTGCCTATAATGAAAAACATAGTGCGAGTCGATGCGAGTCGGTGATGGAAAAGATTAAATGTCTTCTCCATTACTTCAGGAGAGTAACAACTAAAGGTGAGCATATATATACCATAATTATAAATTCTTTTTCATAGATATGCAATTTATCGATGATTTATCGATAAACGGATGTAATGTAGAACTTGAATCACATTATAATTTTTACATAGAGCAGCACCTGAAGGTATAATAACAATTGAACGACGTTACATTCCGTTGGAAAACTGTCCAAGGTGGAATTTGCAAGAACAAAAATTACCACCATTACACATAACGAGTAAAGGGACCATCGAAAGCGAAGGAGCTGGACTGCTTCAAGTGGACTTTGCAAATAAGTGAGTCTATTATACAATTCTAGTTGGAACGAGTTAGGTTGAAAAATTTATTAATAATGAGTATTGTTTGAGATTTTTGTAAAAAAAATTATAAAGCAAATAAACAACGTGAAAAAAAGAGAAAAGTAAAGAGATTCTTAAGATTATTACTAATATTTTCCATCATTTACTAATTTTTTATATTTTTTTATATTATGATTATTTGAATTAAAACCATTTTTACATTACTGGCTCTTTGCCTTTATTATATAATATATATACATATATATATATATACACCCTGTATATATATATATATATGTATATTGCTTTATACTTAAAGAGTCTTATAATTATATTATTACTTATTTTCTTTTTCGTGTGTATTTCGTAAATAGATATGTGGGTGGAGGTGTGCTGGGCTTAGGCTGTGTGCAGGAAGAAATACGGTTCGTTATATGTCCAGAACTTATGGTCACTATGTTGGTTACGGAGGAATTAGATGATACGGAGGCGCTTATCGTTAGCGGTATCGAGCGGTATAGTAAATACGAAGGGTATAGCAACACTTTTAAATGGAAAGGAGATTTTGTTGACGAGACACCGAGGGATATTAGTGGTAGACGTATGACGTCAATCGTCGCTATTGATGCCCTTTACTTCAGGCAATCCTCTTTGCAGTTCAATACGGATAACATAAAACGTGAGCTCAACAAGGTTTGTAATCTCGATATAAATATCGTCATAACTAAAATAAATCTGTATAAAAATTTATGAAATTTATTCAAGTTCCTAAATTATCGGAAACGTAAAGTTGCAACCTTGTTTATAAATATTTTTGTCAATTTTAGATAAATTATAATTTTTATATATCTACTAGATTATTAGACTTTTAAAAATATTTCCTTAATTATTTCATCGTGTTCGAGATTTTTCTCAAAACTCAAAAACTATTAATTGCCGATTGTAAAAACTTGCTGTTTATTTTTCAATATTATACTGATATATACTATTATTGCCTCTCTAATTTTAACACCAGTACATTTTCCGTAGGCTTATGTTGGATTTGTCGGATCTGATATCTATAAGAACAATCTATCCGCCATCGCAACAGGAAACTGGGGATGCGGTGCATTTCGCGGAAATCCAAAGTTAAAAGTTTTGATACAGTTGATGGCTGCTGCAGTTGCAGGCCGATCGATGGTCTACTTTACTTTCGGAGACACGAAGTTACGAGACGATGTAGCAGCGATGTATGCACATTTAGTTCATCACGATATTGATATAGGTATTCATATTTAAAAATTATAATCTTTATAATAATCATTTACATA